GCCGACCCTGAAGGAGATCATGAGCGCGCCGATCCCCACGCGCGAGGTCATCGGGGCAGGTCTCTGGTCCATGGTGGAGCGGGAGTTCAACAGTTGCGGGGCGAACGTGCTGACTGACGCACTCTCGCGTAGACGCATGGGACGTGTAAGGCGCTCCTCAGGACACCCCGCAGCACGCAGAGGCACTTCGAGTGTGGGTCGAGTGGCTGATGTCCGAGAAGGTTGCGCCAGCGCCCCATGGAGGACAGGCCAATCAGAAACGGAACAGGAACATCGTGGCGAACATGGTCGATCGGTGGGCCGCGGGCGAGCGCCGGGTTTTGTGGGGCGAAGTGGGGCGCCTCACTGAGCGGCGCCTCGCTAGCAGCTCCAGGTCTCGAGGCGGGCACTCCAGCGGCGGCGATGAAGCCCAACTGGAGAGCAGACGGCGGGAAATGGTGGACATGGCCCGGCGGGAGCTCCCAGGGAAGTCGGTGAGGCACGCATCCAGGAAATCAGCGAGCGAAGAACGGTATAAAATCAACTTTTTTGTCGTCGGGGACACCTGCCCCTGGGCCTGGAAAGTTTATACCCCTACGGTGCCACCGTAAGTGTATAAACTTTCCAGCCGCCCTGGGGCAGGTGCCCCCGACGGCGAAAAAGTTTATTTTATACCGTTCTTCGCCCGTTAAGGAAAGGGCTCGCCACCGACACCGCGGCGACCGAGGCCACGATGTGGTCTAAGTTCCCTGCCGCTCCTGCTCACCAGCGCGTTCTGCAGAGGCCGCCGGCGCCGCCCGCCAGGGAGCCCACTGAAGAGTGGGGGGCGTTGCCGTCCGGAGCTTTGGCAAAGGCGCGGCGCCCGGCCCTGGTGGCCACCTCAAACGATGCGAAGATCGGGACAAAATCGGATCGGGATAACTCGAAATCTCTGAGAATCGGCGGGTTTGGAGGATGTATTGGGCGCCGCGGCCGCTCCAGAGCGTTCCGGAACGCTCTGAGAGCGCTCCGGAACGTTCTGGAGCGATTTATCCCGATCCTAGCCCTGTTTTACCACCGACCCGACTTGCTCGGAAGCAGGTGGCCGGGGACAAGGGCGACAAAGTGGGCAGCGCCATCCTCGCGAGCATCTGCAGCTTGCTCGCCGACGGCCGCGCGCCGAAGCAATTGTGCCGCGCATTGGGGGCGCGCGGGGCACGGCTCTCCAGAAGGTTGCGACGGGCGGCAGCGAGGACGCCAGACCCGTTAGCTTTGGGGACGCCACCCGCATACTTGTCGAGAGGGCGCTCTTTGCCACAGATTTGGACACCGTCCGGGCGCACTTTGTTCCACTCCAGCTCGCAGTGGGCGTAGGAGATTGTTTTTTTATCCTCTGGGGGGTAACGCTCGTTACCCGGGCCTCTCCCCCCCCCCCCCCCCCGTAACGGTAACGCTCGTACGCGGGGGGGGTCTCGGTCTTCCCCTCCAACATGCTGGTGCCCGAAGGCATGCGCACTGTGGTGTGGTGGTCGCAGGCGCACTGTGGGCGCTCGCAGGCCATTGCGGCGCTCGCATGCGCGATGCTGGTGCTTGCGGGCTTTGCGCTTGTACTCGAATCGTCGTCGTCGTCGTCGTCGTCGTCGTCGTCGTCGTCGTCGTCGTCGTCGTCGTCGACGGCGCCCGAAAACGGCCTCCGGAGGCCGAAACAGGCGGCAAACGTCGTCGTCGTCGTCGTCGACCTCGTCGCTCGTCGCTCGTCGATCATCGTCGTCGCGCGCGCGGGCGCGGGCGTGGTGCCGGGACCACGCGGCGGGCTTTGCGCTTGTACTCGAATCGCAAGCCACTGTGGTGCTCTCAGGCAGAGAGTGCTGCTCGCGCGCATACTATGGCGATCGCAGAGCGCCCCTGCTTCGCCATACCCCGCCCAGCCCAAGCGTTACCGTTACCCGGGGGGCACGACCCCCCCCCCCCCCCGGGTAACGAGCGTTACCGGCCGGAATAAAAAAATTATCTCTAGGCCGATGCCCACAACGAGGTCGACAGGCACATTTTCCTTATCAGGATGCGGGAGGTCGCTCCTGGCCTGGCTCGGTGGTTCACGTTGGTCTACCCCGCAGACGCGCACACATTGGCCTCCTACAGGTAGGACCATCCAGAACGTAGCAGGAAGACAGCAGGTTTGCCCACTCATCGGGGCATGCCACGCGGTCGTCCACAGGATGCTGCATGAGACACTGGGCTTGGCGCCCGTGCTTGAGGGCGCTGCGGTGCGGCTGCCGGTGCTAGGCCCGCCCGTCGCCATGGACACGGCGCCAGGTTTCGCGGACGACGGCTTGCTTGCAGGACCGCCAGGTGAGGTGCTCAGAGGTCGCGCCACTTGCAGACGGTCATGCCAGCAACGGGGCTGCGCTTCTCGACTCTGCAGGTGGTCCCCGCGGCAGTCCAGACCAGCGCTGTGGACTTCGCCCCGTTCGTCGCCATTGGGTGCAGCCCCCTGCGCGCGGGCAAGTGCGAGGTGCTAGAGTCTCCGGTCGACGACGCTTGTTGCAAGGCTTCTGCGCGAGGCATGTAGAGAAGCAAAACGGGGTGGTCCAGTTCTTGGCAGAGCTCGAGTACCCGCGGGTGACCCACTTTTTGCTGGCCCACTCCGCCAACGCAGGCAGGATGTTCTACCTCGCGCGCACCTCGCCTGCCAAGCACCCGGGGGCAGCCGCGCGCGCCCACGACGATCGAGCGCTCGAGTCAGCCGCGGCGGCTGTTGGGCACCGCTGGACCGACGGGCAGCGAGACCAGGATTCCTGCGCGTCGTCGTCAGGCGGCCTGGGCTTGCGGAAGGTCTCCGCGGAGATGGGCGTTGCGCATGCGCGCCCGGCCCCGCGCGCCCGCGCGCGACCTCTTCGCGCAGATCTGGGCCGGCCACTGGCAGGGCGACGCTGCGGCGGGGGCGCCCGCGGCAGCAGCGGCTTCCGGGATCGCCGCCGCAGTTGGCGCCGAGACTTTCCTGGCGGCTTCCAGGGACCTGCTGGCGCAGGCGCGCCTTGGGCAAGCGCTCCAAAGCGAGGCGGCAGCTGCGTGGGGCGACGCCTGGTCGCCAGCCGATGGCGCTGGTCTGAACGCGCACTCAGCGCAGGGAGCGCGAGCGAATTGCGAAATCACCCCGTCTAAGAAACTTGGTGCATCTCGCTGCGAGCCAGTTCGCCGACAATTTCGCGCCCCGGCTCGGCGCCGACGTCTTGGGCGAGCGGTTGACTTGCCGGCAGCGCGCGGCTCCGCTCGACGCCCAGGGGGCCCGCTGCCTGTCGCGCGCGGGCGGCGGGGGCGCGGCGGACGGCGCCCCAGTCGGAGGCGGCAGGCGCTCTCGCTGACGGTTCTGATTCGCGCGCGCAGCCGGACACCGGCCAGCCAGCAGACGCGCCGATCATCCCACAGCTCGCGCTCGCCGCCTTCCTCCCAGACGGCAGCCGAACGGCTCGGGCAGAGCGGGCGCGTTTCGATTTCGCCGCCGTCAGCGCGCTCGGCAGCGCCCAATGGGCAGACGCGGCGCTGGCGCCAGGGCTCGCGTCCGAGGCGCGCGACGCGTGCAAGCGCCAGCGGAGCCAGACCGAAAAGAGCCGCCGCGCGCGCGTCTCGGTTCATAGAGCGGCCGCTCTGGAGCAAGGGGGAATGGGAAAAGAGCAGACGCCGCCATCCGACCCGGGGCGGCGGCGGCGGCGCGAATGGGGGGCGCGGGGCAGGCGACCGCGCGGCGCGAACTGCCGCGCCGCATCGCGGCGTCGGTCGCTTGCGGGCGCGCCGCGAGGCCTGGGGAATCAAGGGCCAGGGCGGCGGAGCGCAGCGCAGGCAGCCGCAGCAGCGTTCAGCGCGGGAGCTGAGGCCGAGTGAGTGGGGGCGTGGCCCGCGTGCCTTGACGGGCTGTTTTTTCTCCTGGCGCGATGGCACACGGGCGCCCCTCCCGGCCCGACTCCTTGTTTGGTCTCGCCTTGGCACTGGCCCTCGCCCCCCCCTCTCCCCCCCACTCTCCCCATCGTCATCATCGTCATCATCGTCATCATCAGCACAATCGTCATCATCATCATCATCATCATCATCATCATCCTTTATCTCCTCCTCCCCCTCCTCTTCCGCAGCAAGATTGGCCCATGTTGCTTCGGGCGCCAGGCGGGCGCCAGCGTTGGGCATCTCCCGCGGCGGCGATGGCTCCCCTGGGGGTGGCTGCGGCAGGCTGCGCGGCTGCTCATGGAGCGGCGGAGCAGCCCGACGCCGCGGCCGGCGCGGGTTCGCTGCGGCCAGCATGGCGCGCCAGGCGCGCCAGGCGCTGCGCCCCCCGCGCGGCGGCTGCGGGCCGCCTTGCTGCGGCGCCCCAGAGGATCACCGAGCTGGGGGAGCCGGTGATCGGGCTGCAGGCCGAACGGCGCCGCGCCCGGGCGGCGGGCCACGCTGCGGCCCTCGCGGCGGCCCAGCGCGCCTCGTAGGCCGCGCCCGAGGCGGCGGGCGGGTGGGCTTCGCAGCAGGGCCCCGCGCTGCAGCGCGAGCTCGCGGAGCGATTGGCACAGGCGGCGCCCGTCGCCAGGGCGCGCCCATGAGCGCCTTGCAGGTGGGCAGGCGCAGCGCGGCGTTCCGCCACCAGCGGCTGGCCGCGACCGGGGTCCGCGCCATGCATTAACGCGCGCCCAGCCGTTTGCAGCGCGAGGCGAGGCGCGCTGGCCCTAGGCGCCGGCGCGGCAGTAGGCGCGCGCCGGCTCGGCCGCGGCATTGCCGGCCGCCCGCGGCGCGCTCGGCTTCGGGCGCGGCCCGGCTGGCACGGCGCGCGGCGGCACGGCGCAGCCGCGCGGCGCGCGGCACGCCGCCTGGGCCTGAGCGAGCATTTCGGAGCACATCTCGCGCCGAGGGGCCGCCCGGGGCCGCAGGCGCTCCTTGGTCGACAACGGCGGCGGAGGTTGCGGGGGGGAGGGGGGGGGGGGCGGCCTCGACGCCCCCTCTCCTTGCGGCGCCTGCCGACGCCCGGCGAGAATCTGATAATGACGACGAGGGTGGAGCCGTAGAGTTTCGCGGTGCCGCCGACGCCCGTCGTGCTCGCGCCCTTCCTCGGCATGCCGTTCGCGATGCCGCCCGCGTTCCCCGCGCTGGTCCTGGCGACGAGGAGAGCGTCGCGAGCGACGGCACCGAGGTCCCTCGCCCTGCCCGTGGTGCCGCCACCACGTGCACTGGCGCTGGAGTCTCTCCTGATGGCGTTCACGGAGGGACTCGCGGGGTCAGTGGGGGCGCCGTTCGACGCGCTGATGAAGCCTCCCAAGATCGAGGCGCGGCAGTTGACGCCGATGCTGATAGCGAAATTCCGCTTCGTGGCCCTGTCGTCGCCGACGACCCGTTCGACGAGCACGCGGTCATCGGCGGGATGTGGCGCCTCGTGGTGATGCTGAGGCACATGTTCCAGACCTGGGCAATCGCTGACCGCCAGCAGGGCGAGGCCCAGCTCGCCAACATGGCTGCGGAGCTGGAGCAGGCTCGCCTCGCCGCGAAGGCCAGGCAAACGGGCGGCGAAACGCGGGAATGAGCCTCGGGTGGTCGGGCAGGCCCGTGCTCTGTCCTGCTGGGTCCGCTTCGAAGTTTTGGCGCGGCAACCCCCGCAAGTTCGGGGGGCCGCCGCCTGGGTCGGACGGCCGCTGGCGGCTGTTGGGGTTGCCCGCTTTTGTCCCCGCAGGGTTGGCTTCCGCCCCCCTGGCTCGCCGCGGGTCCCACGAGACATTTGGGCTCTGGGCGTCGTCTGCTTGCGTACGGCGCCCAGGGCTCCTTTGACGCTGGTCCATCCCCTTCCTCCTCCTCCTCCTCCTCCTCCTCCTCCTTCTCATCCTCCTCCTCCTCCTCCTCCTTCTCCTACTCTTCCTCCTCCTCCGCCTCCTCCTCATCATCCCTTTTTCTTCCTCCTCCGTGTCCTCTTCGGCTCTCGGCTCCCCCATCCCCCCCTTTCTGTGTGTCTTGTTCCTTGCCCTTGTGTTTCCTTGCCTCTGTTCCTCGTGTGAGGTTCCCCCCCGTCTCTCCAAGCTTGACCCCCTTCCCCGTTTCCCGGTCCCTCCGTCGGTCGGCCCAGTGTGTCCTTTCGTGTCGCTCCTTTGTCATATCTCCCTCCGTTTCTCGTTCCTCGGCCCCTCGCTCTCTTGCCCGTTTCCGGCCCTTGTCTGGCCAGTTGTTCTGTGTCGGCCCGTCCCGCGTTCCGAACAAGGCAAGAGCTGCGGGGGTCCGCGCTGCCACACTGCCGAATAGCCAGGCGTGGTGCGAACAAATGCGTGACTTGCGGCTACTATGGTCACTCGGCGATTGCGTGTCGCACCAAAGCCTTCAGACCAGCAGGGCTCGAAGACACTGAGCCAGCGACCTCGCGTCCTGGTCTGCGTTTCGCGGTTTCTGCGTTCGCCCCTCCCGGGCCCGCGTTTTCTTGTGGCCTTTTTTTTGACCACGGCTGGTGGGGGAGGAGTGGCGGGAGGGGCAGAGGGGAGGGGGAGAGGCAGGAAGCGGAGGAGGGGGCAGAGGGGAGGAAGGGAGGAGGGGGTGCCAGCCCCTTGCACACGCCCCCTTTCAGCACGTTCACGAGCGCTCGCGGGGGCGCCCCCCCCCCCCCCCCCCCCAGGATTCGATCCGAATCCTGTTCAACTTTTTCGGCACTGTCCCCATCATCGCGACAGGCCGCCCGGCCCCGCCGGGGCTGCCCCCGGCCGCTCCCGCGCGCCCGCTGCCCGGTGGCTCGTCCTGCTCCTCCGCCTCCCCGTGGCGGTGCGCGCCCGCGGGGGCGGCGCGCGCGGGGGGGACGGCCTTCCGAAAAGGAGCGGAAGCTTCCAGGCGGGGCCGGGAGGCGTTTGCGAAGGCACCCCGCCGGCCTTCCTGCAGCCGGACCGAGGGATCGAAGATCGAGGCCAGCTCGGGGAGGGTACCCTGATGTTTTTCGTCCGGATTTCGAGTTTGCCGACGTTTTTTTGACGAGCGCGTCCTGGATTTTGAGGGTCCAAGGTTCGTGGGATGTTTGCAGCGGGATTTCGCGTCAAATTTCAGATCGGGTCTCGTCACTTTGATGGCGGCCCCGTCAGGCCAACCCGAGTCCCCCGTAACCGAGTCTTACGTCTCCCCGATTCGTGCTTGTTGGATGCTCTTGTGCATCCTGGGGAGAGTCCCCTTGCCTGGATGTTTTGTGCTTGGCTTCGGCCGACGGGGGGCCTCGTGTTCCTGAGGGGTGTTCTCCGCTGGCGAATGTCCGACTGTACAAAAGCCCCCCCCCCGGCCGGGCGAGGCCGCCTGCGCCGCGATCCGGCGCGGCCTGCTCCGCTTGCTGCCGCGCATTTCCGCTTATGAGGGTCGGAGGTGCAAGGGATGGCGCTGCCCTCGAAATGTACAGTTCGCAAGCGCAGGCCCGCGGGCGCGCCTTCGGCGCGAGGCCCAACAACCGGGCGTTGAAGCTCAGCTGTTTCACTTCCTGGCGCGTTTCAGTCGCGATGGCGTGCCTCGCGTGCTCGTGATCCCGCGCATGGAACGTAAACCCCAACAATTTGACCATTCGGGCGTCATCGTCATCATCGTCATCACGACCATACCCACGATCAACATATTCGTGTGTAGTTGCCCGCTTATGGGGCGAGTGCGCGCGCGTGCGCACGTCTGCGTGCCCTGCCAGACAACAGGCACGCATCCGAACGCGCCCCGCGTCGCCGACGGCGCCCTCTCGGACATGAGTCCGCGCGCTCACTCCACTATTGCGCCCGCGCCGGGGGGGCTCAGTCGTTCGCGGGCGCTAGAGCGACGACGATGGCGACGCCGACGACAACGACGCCGCCGCCGACTACGACGTCGGCGACGGCGACAGCGACGACGACGTCCAGGCCACCCGAGGTTCCCTTCGAGTTTTCCCCAGCATGTTTTTTAAAGGCATCGGAGGCCCATCGAGGTCCGTGGAAGTTTCCGAGAGACTCCGGAGGCTTCTTTGGAGGCCACCGACGACGACGACAGCGACGGCGAGGGCGACAGCGACGACGCCGTCCACTTCCTCCCTCCTCCTCCTCCTCCTTCTCCTCTTCCTCCTCCCTCCTCTTCCTCCCCCTCCTCCCTCCTCCCTCCTCCCTTCCCCCTCCTCCTCCTCCTCCTCCTCCTGCTCCTGCTCCTCCTCCTCTTCCTCCTCCTCCTCCTCCTCCTCTTCCTCCTCCTCCTCCTCCTCTCCCCTCCTCCTCCTCCTCCTCCTCCTCCCCTCCTCCTCCTCCGTCTCCGCCTTCCTCCGCCACCTCCTCCTCCTCCTCCTTCTCCTCCTCCTCCTCGTCCACAATTATTCAATATGAATACTAGTCTCCTCCTTCCCCTGATGACGGGTTGGGAGTGTTCGCCCCCCCCCGCGTATTGTTTTTTTACAAGATTCCCCGGAGTTGGGTTTGTTTTTCAAATTGCTGCTCTCGCTGAGGCGCCAGACTCGTTTTCGGGCCCCGCTCGTTCCGAATCGTGCCCCCGCTGCAGCGCTGGCCTCATTTCCGTGTTTCCGCTCGTTCCGAATCGTGTTCCCGCTGCAGCGCTGGCTTCATTTCCGCGCTTCCGCTCGTTCCGAATCGTGCTCCCGCAGCAGCGATGGCGTCATTTCCCGTGCCATGCCACGGCATGCACTGCAATGCTAGGTTGCGCTCCGCTGCGCGATGCCATGCCTTCAGCTGAAGCTGTGATATGCAGTGCTTAAGTGCCACGTCGTGCTATGCCATGCTACGATTTGATATTCAATGCCATGTTCTGCAATGTTATGTTCGGGGCCGCTGTGCGATGCCATGCTCTGCGTTGCAAAGCTTCGCGATGCAATTCTTCACTACGCCACGCCACGCCATGCTGTGACATACTACGCTGTGCGGTGCTCTTCTACGCCATGCCATGCCGTGCTCTACACCGCATCGCGTACCCTTTCGGGATCATTGCATTGCTCGACATCCGACTGTGCGAGCAGAGACGGGATCTACGCCATGGTAAAGGATGGGAGGGAGGGGTAGGATGTCAGAT